GTAGGGAAATGAAAACTGAAAAGGTAACTTTTGCCCAAGATTAAGATCTTTTTTCCTAAGCTTCTTTTATCTCTTAACTGTGGTTGAGAAACATTTGACCACAAAAGCTTTTAATATGCAAAATCATTTTGGATGCTTCTGTCCATTTGGTAAGCCAGAAATCTCTTAAGCAAGATCTACGGTGATACAAATCAAAGATTTAAGGTATTCAATGCAAAGTGTGGTGACTTAAGCTGGCAAGTCTGTATCTTTGCTGCTGAATTCATTTGCGGTGGTAAATTCCAGCCCTGTTTGAAAATTGGCAGAGTATCTTAAGTGGGTGGAAGAAACTTCAGAACAATTTTAAAGCAAGTGTACTCTTCATTTTACTTTAGCTTTATAGATTTTGAAGCATGCTAACTGTTTAGTCACTAGTTTGTTTTGCCTCTCCCTCATTTCAGAAGAGAATGAATTTTCATCTAATAATTTAAGAAAATATTTAAAATTGTCCTCACCAAAGCAAATGATTTGAAAACATTTTTCTGCTTTGACTCATAAGAACCATGAACTTTCCATAAACGGGTTAACTTGTTCCTGACAGGTAGCAGATATTTGAATAAAATATTTACCTGTCTTATTTAAATGGTTGCATTTCTCTTGTGTATTCTGTTAATATGTAAAGTAGTTTTAAATCTGTGTGAAATGTCTTAGTGTGAATTGTACAGTATAGCTCTGTAGATCTTTGTGGGAGAACACAGAACTCAAGAAATGGTCACTTGAAAAATGGTAGTTTCTTTTGGTTATTGTAGCACTTGTTTTGCACCTGGGTCTGCTCTAGAAGATTTTAAAAAAGAAAAAAGTCAGAACACCTATGGCTTATAACAAGGTTTAATAAAAGAAAGTAGATGAAGACTGTTCTCAGAACAAAATCTAAGCACATTGGTTTTAGAAGGCATTAGATTATGCTTTTTAAAAAGATTGCTGGAGTTTTTGTACAAGTTGTATAAAATCACATACTAAAACTTGATGTTTCCTGTTATAGGGTTTTGGACCTTTGTAGAAATGTAAAGGAAAGGATAGTAAGAGAATGCAAAGAAAAAGGTGTTCAGTTTGCTCCTCTTTCCACCTGTAGGTAAGCTATGCAACAACCTAATTATTTTTTCTTGAATCCTTGATTAGTAAGAGAACTAAGGAAGAGGTGATTAAACTTGCTAGCTAGCTGGTAAAGTGCTTCTAGTAATGATCTTGCAAATGCTACTAACCTTGACCTTAATCTTGAACCTACAAGTGGACTACATGTAAGGGTGGGTAATTCAAGGGATTAGTAGCACTTGACTAGTCGTTAAACTCTTGCTTTTATGTACAAGAGTCAAGTGCAATGACTTGAGAGCTTCAAGTTTTAAACCATAGCATTAAGTTGCTCTTGAATTATGAGCAAAAAGGATAAAAATCTATTAAAAAACCCCCAAACCAGATGCTACTCTTTTGAATAAGTGCCCTGATGAAATGTGTAATGCCACATAGTGGTTGGCTTAATACCATAAAGCTTTGTTTGTAATGCAGTTCTCTTCAACAGGGTGACACAGACTTACGATGCAGGTGCATGTGTCTACTTCTACTTTGCCTTTAACTACAGAGGAATTAGTGATCCTATTCATGTCTATGAACAAATTGAGGTAATGTATAAAAGAACAATAGTTATAGGGGATATGCTGATGTCCTGTAATATATGCTGAACCATTTGGCCAAGCTAACTGAATTTTGCAGGAAAGATCTCAAAGTC